TATATATATATATATATATATGATGTATACGCACACGCACACACGTATCTATATAATACACATATAACACGTGAAATACAAAAAATCGAGCACGCCAGCTACGTACGTACGACCAAACAACTCGTTCTTCTTCCAATGCTTTTGAAATGACAATCCTTTCAAAAGTGAAATAAAATTGTTCAACTGTAAAACCGTACGCAATCTCTGAATTTCTCAATTGATGTTCGTCTTTTTAGATCATTTTAACTAATTGGATCAATTCGACAGAATTGTTGGAAACAACGAGCTTGTACTTTTTGGCAGTAATACCAACAGACGAGTGGATATAATGGATGTATTCAGCTGGCGAACTCTAAATATATATTACATATTACATATTACGTTTACCCTGAGGCACATATAAATAGTTATCGAAACCAGTCGAATTTTTTGCGAATCAACGAGGCCATTCTATCGTACTCTTGTTAGATTTTTTGCAAAAAGCTTTGCAAAAGGAATTGTCTCTCGTCAAACGGTGAGATTATTGGACGAACGTTGTTCTATCGGTTCTGTTTGTTTAAGGCTTGCAGCATGATTTCCTCGATTCCCTTCAAACTTTCACGACAGTTGAAAATGTACAAGTGGTTTTACGTTATTGTCTGTTTTACAATCGAGTCAATGTTTTCCACGTCGTTCACAAATCAAAAATTCAATACAATTCCATTAATTATAGTTATTCCTATCGATTTCTTACTTCTTGTACGTGTACCCATCTCCTTCTTCTTACAGATATTGAATTGAATATTTGAATATTCAAAAAGTATTCAGCGCAAAAGTATTCACGAAATTAATTCAGATCGTATCATAGTAACATAACATAGCAGTGAAATTCCATGGTAACACAGTTCTGTCATTCTTGTAGCACTCTTCTCCTACTACAACTAGTCGGCTAGCGATGGGCTAGCAATTTTCATCTCTTCTTCTTCTTCGTCTTCTTCTTCTTCTTCTTCTTCTTCTCAAACGTCTTTTCAATTAATCTTTTTAATCTTGCTTGAATTCTTCTACGTAAGATTTAAAAGTCTTGGAAATCTTTCAACTTGCAACTCGCAACAGTATCGCAAATAATTTATATAGCTGTGTTAACGTTATATTATTCTATTATTTCCACGTTCCTCTGGCCAACACATTTTGGCCGAGAAGAGAGTCGTACACAACGAGTATCTTACGAGTCAAGATGCAGCAAGGATAGTTTGCCCGAAACGCGCCTGAAACGACTCACCGTGCTCGCAACGATCCTCGCCTATCCCGATTTGGATACTCGTCAATCGTACTCTATTATCGTAAACCAAAATTCAAAATAATTTGTCGAGACAAGTTGAAAGTTCAACAATCTTTGGGCACTCTATCGAAAAATACCATTCCGTCCTTCTCTAGCTTTTTTGAAAAGCTGTTGTATTCGATGACTGAGATGACTTTCGGACAACAGACGAGGTGATTGCGATATCGATCTCGATATTTACTTGTCCCGTCTCGCAACTCTTCCCACAGCTTCCGGAATA